TCCTTAGCTTTGAGATTAGTTTCCTGTAGGAGGAGGAAATCGACTTCACGATTCCGAAGAAAGAGCTTAAGCTCTGGGAGGTTATTTCGCAAGCCGCGAATATTAAATGATACAAGCGATAAACCCTTAGGTTTGATACGACCGTGAGATCTTGGTAGGTTAATTCGCTCAGTCATTGAAGTTAAGTTAATTAAGTTAACCTAACTTACAACGCTAACAGAAGGTTATTGTGCTCCGCAAGAACGAGGAGACGTTCTTGGGGGGACTTGGCCGCGCGCAGTTTGCGTGATACTACTGTTATTTCCCCAACATCGATATTCCTAATAGCGGAATATAGCGTGTTGTAGTCGTCGATTGTGGGCTCTGCTTCATGAGCGTACGAGGTTGTCCGCGGTGGGTCTGCCTTTTTGGGCCCCCAGAGAAAGACTGGAGGCTGCATTGGCTTGGAGAAGCCCGGAGGGGGCCGAACTATGCCCTGAGGGGGCCTAGGGGGACCCTGAGAGGGTCGAGAGAAGCCCTGGGTGGGCTGAGAAAGGCCCTGACGGGGCCGTTGTTGGAGGGCCGGGAATGAGCGGTCATTCATCGGCGGTGGAGCTTGCCTACTGGGGCGAGGTTGAGGTGCGCGTGGGCAACCCTTGTAATTAGCCGGGTGTCCTGTCTGGTTGCACAGGACACAAGCGGGCGGGGGATTCGGCGGCTTTGGGCCGGGGACACTCTTTCGTGTTGTGTGGTTCTAGGCACTTAACGCACCTGGGTGGGGCGGAGCAGTTGGCCGCCGCGTGACCATAAAGTTGGCAGCGGTGGCACTGCGCCGGGAAACCGGGCCTATGTGGGGGCTCTACCTTCACCCTTGACAGGCCACACACTGTGCGTACCTGCCGGAAGATGGCTTTAGCCTCCGGCACGTTTGATAGGATTACTAGGGCAAGGTTGTATCTCTTGCCCGTTCTGTTGTGCATTTTGTGCACGGCTTCGACGGGAAAGCCTTGGGACTTAAGGTCCTCAAGTATTTCCTCGTTCGAGAACTCGAAGGGGACGCCTCGGATGACGGCCCTGACTTTACGCTCTTCCGGGAGAGCGTAGGTGTGATAGGAGACTCGTTCGGCTGTGAAAAGCCTGGTGAGTTTTCGGAAATCCTCGATCGAGCTGGGGATGATTTTGATAGCCTCCCCGAGGTTGACAGCATTGTCGTACTTAATTCCTGCGTCGTAGCAGGTTTTCGACAGTTTGGTGAATTTGGCCTTGTCTCTTAGGAAGACAGGGGGCGGGACTTGCTTCTTAGCAAGGACTGGAGCACATCGAGAGGAAGGTTTAGATGGAGTTGGGATGTCAAGGGACATGAGCGGGATGGCGGCAGCGGCGGGGGCTGCGGAAGTTGGAGGAGCGGCAGGGGCCGCTGAGATAGGCGGGGTGCGTTTTATCGCGGCGCGCTTTCCGTTGCGCTTGGAGTTGACGGCAGTGAATGTGGACTCCCCTGTTCCGTCGGAGTCAGAGGACTCCGATGATGAGCATGCGTACTCCATTTCTAGGGGGGCAGATTCGAGGGGGGCAAAAGAGTTCCTCGTTTCGAGGTAAGATGCGATTACCGGCGGCGGATGGTGTGCCTGAGGGGCAGGGAGGGAAGCCTGGGCGGCGATGGTGGCGATGGCGGCGAGGACCGTCTCATTGCCATTTAAACCGAATTGGTTAATGAGGGCGGCGAGGGACTCAGTGAAGCTGGGTGTGGCCATTTTGGGTCAGTAAGCAAGCTGAGCTATGTAAAAATAAGGATGAGGACGGGTCCCTGTTCTCGGTAGAACAGGGACTAAATCGCGAGACGTACTACGACACACTATACACGTAATACAAGAATAACAAGAACACAAGAAAATAAAGGAGACAGTACAAAAAAAAAATGATAATGAAAAATGAAAATGAAAATGAAAATGAAAAATGAGAATGAAATGGAAATGAAAAGCGGAAGTCAGTCAGACCTCCCTGCCCGAAGACAGGGGGGCAAGAACCTCGACGCTGTTCCGCGTGAGCATGACAGCGGAGGCGCGTGAGAGCGCGACAGCACTACCGTACTGTACGGGAGCGCGGACCACCTGGAGGCGACCGTCCGAGACATAGATAAATAAATATGTAGCAAGCTAGTCCGAGAACGATGCCGCCGGCGGACTGAGCACTGCGTCGGCGCTGTACAGCGCGAGCGGGACAGCGGGGGCGCGAGAGCGGGAGAGCACTACCGTACAGGAACGAAAGCGCGGACTACCTGGATGCGACCGCTCGGAAGCGATGCCACAGGCGGAATGCCAGCCGACCCATTCGTGCTACAACCATAATGTAGCTACAGCGTGGCTTTACGACGTATACCAGAAGTTTCATTTCTCATATGAGTTCTTTGTGGAATCGGCTACCACTAGTAATTTTTTGGGCTAATGTGGTTTAGAGACTTCCAAAAATAAAGAAACAAGCTCCTTTTTAATGGACGCCAATTAACCTACAATTCTTCTGGTGTTGCTTTTGTTCTTAGGAGGTGGGAGCCATTTACCATCGACGCCACTTAAATAAATAAATTGAGTGCTCTACGAAATATTACAAGTACAATGTAACTATTAAAAACTAATGAAAATATTGAGTAACACCAAAATCTTTACCGCTTATTTAACTTACCAAATTTAAGTATATTAGAACAACCCATCAAGTAACCTATTCAATGTAAAAAAGATTGATATTAATTTATTTAGCTATTTCCGATAAATTGGTAAACATATAATTGCGCGACGAATTTAAAAATTCGTTTTTGAACTCGGTTAAAAGGCATCTGAAGTATTTAAATAGGTATCTAAGTGTCTGGCAGTTATAGTAGGGAGTCAGACGGCGTACTCAAGGCCAGGAATTCTCATAGTTTACTAGTCGTTAGTTAGACAATCTACTTCAGAAAAGGAAATGCTGGAGAGTCAAGATTAGTCGATCATGTAACGAAACACTAAACTATATACCTAACCTTTAACAAATACTTGACACCACGTGTTCAATATTGATTTACGGAATGTATAGTAACATAAAAATACAAATAATGCTTTCAAAGCACAATTAACTAGGTAGTATTACAAAAGGTATTTATAGCGTGACATTTGTTGGTAACATTCTGCAACTGTGCAAGTCCATTACTTATACTTACTTTTGATTAATCAAAAGTAAGTATAAGTAATGGAAATCGTCAGTACGTTGTTCAAGAAGGTACGTAAGCTTATAAATACGTTACTGCAAGGCAGTGATTAGACTGCTAAAATTTGTGCAGTTATTTCATATAAAATGGTAAAACAAAAAAAAAACACCTTTGTTACTCGCAGAAAACCCATTGGATCTTTTCCCAATGTCACACAGAATACAAATTTCAAGAAAGGTTTGAAAATATATTGATGTGTGAGTAAGCAGATTAATGATGGGCCGTTAGTGCTATGACTTCTAAAAGCTTTAAAGAAAAAATTATAATATTTTTTTAGATTTTTCAAGTAAATAATAATTACTAAACATACTTATACATACTCGTATATGTATGAAAACAATTCAATCACTTCACACACACACAATGTTTGAAACAAACTAAATACTGATATTCTATTACGTGTATTGCAAATATTATGTGTATTCAATAATTCAATATAAGCGTTTCATATGAGAATTTCTATTGACTTTCTTGTGATTGCACTTCTATCGGCATCTCAAGAACTTGTAAAGTTTGTCAACACACATCCACCCTTGGAGCAGCGCGGAGGACTTATTGCTCTAGAACCCTCTCAGTAATGAAAAGAGATCTGTGCCCAACAGTTAGATGTACATTTCTTATTATAAACTGTTACTTTACTTTGCTTACTTTTTTATTAGTTAACATTGAGCTTTTTAAAAGTTTATCCGTAACAAATCAATTATACGTGGTAGAGCCATGCTGCAGTTATATTAGTGATATAGTTGTAGCACGAATGGGTCCGCACGACCGAGGAAGGACCACGCTCTCATAATACCAGCGTAAAATAGCAACTTAACTCTGCTGTGCTTCGTATGGTGAGTTTAGAGAACCGGAGACCCTTTTTACTGGAAACGAGGCATTCCATCTTAGTCCTCACGGGTGACAGCGCATCTGCCTTTTGATTCGTATTTAGGGATAGATGTAGATGTCTACGGGTCACACAGCAACCACTTATCATCAGTTGGACCTTGTGCTCGTTTATCACCCTATCCTATAAACAAAAATTAAATTAATGTGTCTGACTTAAAACCGAAATAATTGACTACTATTAGTCTCAGAGAATTATTTGCTTCATATTTAGACATAATTAATCATTTTTAAATTTTTTGTTTGTCATAACTAATTTCCGTAATAGCTAAACTAATTTTGATATAACTTTAGGAACACATAGAGAACAATACCAGGAGAGATCTACGCCATAGTTTATCCAGAAACACGCACTTTTTTGTGTTTTGTTTTTATCATTAACTCTATAAACTTTAAGAGGTATAAAAAGTTTCGAGTAAAACTTAATTGCTTTACAATTTTATAGAAAAGAAAGTTTTCTTATAGTTCTGATGCAAAATTTATTTTTTATAATTATTTCTTTCCATTTTACAATAATAACTAAACATAATAAAGGATAAGGCAAATATAACGTTTTAACGTAAAATTAACAGAACTTCAATATTTAATTTTAACATTTTCCCATAGTGCATATTTTCGAGGTACACGAATAGCAAAACAAACAGAGCTTAATTAGAGATCTGCAGTTTATTTGTGTTCTACTTGCCGAAGGTGTGGGTTAAATTAAACAAATGAGGTATTGAAATGAAGTTTTAACTAAATGCACATTGCATAAGTTGACAACTTCTTGTAAAAAAACTGTAGACTAGATCTAATTAAAATTTGAATACCTATAAGATATGCATTTCCTTATAACAAACGTCTTTTTTTACAGATTAATTAACGTAACGATCATATTATGCTATTTGTCAACAGAACAATGGCTGCTTCGACTGTCACAAGAACATCAGTAATAGAAAATCCAGTATGTGATAACAGATTTAGAAAAAAGTACGAACTAAGGCGCAGGTTATGTGGCGAGAGCTTTAATAATAACACGAAAGATTCGTGTGTTTACGACGAAACCCGTCCAATGGAACCTAAGTTTTTAGCACCACTAAGAGAATGGGAGAAAAAAATGGGCTTTGTGACAGCCATCCGATGGACCAACACAATATCAATAATTTTCTATCACATAGTAACTGTCGTTTTTGGAATTTATTATCTAACACTAGGCCTAATACCGAAATGGCAAACATTTGTGTTTGGTAAGTAATAAAAAAACATAAAGATAATAATGATAATTTAAATCGGAAGATCTGACAACAAAGTAACATAGACGATGTGTTGTTTATAATAAAAGCATTGCGTACATGTCAAGTAACAGTTTCGTAATTCCATTAGTATTACTCTTAAGTAATTCTTCTTCCCTTTCACATCATCATCAAATTCAGCATCAGCCTCAGCATGATGCTGTATTTTGGACAGTGGACTTGTAACTCATTGCATCACAATTCCACTTCTGAACATAGGCCTCCCCAAGGAATGCCACACAGCACGCTGCTGAGCCACCTGCATCCATCAAACTGGTAAGACACGCATGAAGTCGATGAATGCAGGTGGCTTAGAACCTTCCTTGCATCATCAGCTCATAAAAATTTACCCATAAAAATTTACTGAATATGGGACTCCACACTCCACTTGTGAGGAAGGTGTGCCTTAAACGCCACACTTAGAATATCAGACACCTTTGATCTACGCATTTTACAGGGACCTAAAATTACTAATAAATAAAAGACCGGACATTGACTAACGTCCTAATCCTAATACGCAAGCGATAGTATATTTGTAAATTATGCTATTTATCGTCACATAATGTACTCGTATCTAGAAGTTCACTAGCGTGTTAGAAACATTATACAAAAACAATATTAGGTAAGAGTAAATTAATAAAAGTTATTAAAAAATAAATACGCTCATTTCTTTCGCAAACTATAAGGCAGGGATTTTATATTGTTTAACATATTATAAGCCAGCCACTCGACTACAATCTCACATAAGTGTTAATGAAGTCCCAGATAGTACGTCGCACTGTCCTCAGCTAAACAAAAGCGTGGTTACTCTTAATGTAATAAACATTCTTTTCTCTTTTCTTCTGATTACATTGTAATCGAATCAAAAGACGCTAGCAAATTATTCTAATCTTATGATGCAAATACAAAGCTATCTGTTTAGTTCAATAAATGCATGGAATGACAACATAGGGATGACGCCGCGTGTCTGGTTTTCCAATTGCGCAAGAGAGAGTGGAGATAGAGACACTACATATACCTACATGAATGCATTTTATAGAATATCGAGCACTACTCTGCGCCTAAAAGCCAATTTACACTTCGACTAGTGCAGTAGCGAGTTTAGTTACAGGGCAGTTGACAATAAACTGTTAAGTGGACAGTAGCGTTCAAAATTCAAATGACTTCGTGGAGAGTTTAGTTAAAAAAGTATAATTTTATATATCGAACGCGAACACGTGGAGTCCTGTCAACTTATGCACTGGACTAAACTCGAGCGGCGAGTTTAGTTCCGGGTAGCGGGAGACGCACGGGAGTGCAATACTTCGAACTTAACTCGCCGAAAAATAGACTGACCGGTCATCACGTTCAACTTAATTGTTAACTTGCTACTTAACTCACCAATTGTCATTCAAACGAGTATTTCTACTACACTCGCAAGGTTCGCAAGTTAACTCGATACTGTACTTGTCTAAGTGTAAATCGGCCACTCCTATATGCGGCAAAAGTAACATTGAGTTTTATCTACTGTGATAAAACTCAATGTTACCTTTGCCTTTGTTTTTTTTTTGTTTTGCTTTGTTACGAGTTATGTCGGACACGCACTGGAATGTCCGACATAACTCGTCCTTTCCCCAGCGGGGCGGTTGTGCGTATTCATTTCCCATCTTAAATTCTCGCGCTCACCAACCCGCCACCCAGCATGTGAATATAGGCAAATCCTCCATTTAATACATTTATGAACAGCTCATGTATTGTTATATTTAGTTATTATATATCCCGGGTCGGGAAAAAAAATAATTATTGAGTTTTTCCGTCAAGAAATTCTCAGTAGTTGCCCGGAGTCAGGAAGTTGGCGGTGTGTCACCCCCGTGCCTCGGAAAGCACGTAAAGCCTTTGGTCCTGCGCCTGATCTCTCTCCGGTCGTGTCGGTTTACCGTCCCATCGGATTATGAGAGTGAGGGAATAGAGAGTGCACCTGTGCTTGCGCATACACTTAGGCACTATAATCCTGTCCTGCGCCGATGGCTAGTCTCCGTTGAGGCAGGCCGCCGTGGCCGAAATTCGGTCTGGAGGACATTATTATTATTATTTAGTTATTGTATTTATTTCTCATATATTGTTAGTCTTTGTCTAACAGTAGAATTAAAAAGGCTGTTTGATATAATGCGATGAACTTTACACCTATAACGTCATCTCAGCCTTAAACATAAAGTATGTTGTCTTATTTCATTTATAAATTCTTACCGCATTTACGTGATTGGTTATATTATGCTATAACACGATTTTGTAATCTCATACTATTATGAAGTGTTTTATATTGTCCCAGGTTACGTTATGGGTCAGATAGCCGGTTTTGGAGTAACTGCAGGAGTACACCGCTACTGGACGCATCGATCATATAAAGCCACGCTACCACTTCGTATAATCCTCATCATCTGCTATTCAGTTGCTGGTCAGGTACTTATTTTATTAGTCAAAATTGTTTTTATAGATTCAACTGTTTTCTCTTAGTTGAGATTGTTGTCTCTATCGTTCATTTAATGGGAAATGCCTTATGCTATTTATTCACAAATGAGACTTTTTATATAAGATTCACAAATGTTTTTATTTATTTATAATCTGTTTGACTAGACAGAATATTAATGATATACATATTTGAAAAAAAAATATGGAATGTAGATACTCTCTCCTCTCCTCCTCCAGCTTGTTAAGTAGTCGTACCGTTAGTGTGTCCACATTTGGTCACCAATGTGAGAAGCCGAAAGACGCTCTGGCCAGAGACTTTTTTGTTCAGGTTTGATTTTACAGGTTACGAGAAGACTTGACGAACTTTCCCGTAAGTTGTCCATCAACTAAATCCGCTTAACGCTTTTTGTTCGTTTTTTTTTATGTCTGAGATATCGATAATAGGTTAAATATGACTTTCGTTTTTTTTAATTCATACGTACATTATACTTAGGGGGCAAATATTCAGTATTTTCGGCATGTCTTGAAATTCCAGCAGCTATTCGGCCATAACTACGATATCAAACAAAGCGCAAGTGTTAACCGTTTTCATTGATGCCGCATCCATTCCTGTTCACAAATACGTTAGATATAATCTTCTAATGTATTTGTGAACAGTTTCAAGAATTTTACGTTCCCTTATCTCACTCCACGATATAACGTCTGGTTTTCACCGAAGCAGAGAGGAGAGGAGACGAGAGGAGATGTGCTGCAAAGCTGGCAGGTTATTTTCAACAAAGTACAGTGAAACTGATATAATTACTTTATGAGTCAACAAACTTACCTCGTATTCTTTCGTGTTGCGACTTGCCCTACACCGATAACTTAAACAAATCAACACAAAAGAATGTGATCTGGGAGCACGGCACGAGCAAAAAAGCAGCTCGGCCGTACCATACTTTTCTCGAAACAATTCAGGCCATTTTCGACCCCCTATAACTTCGTAGTGGATAAAACTAGAATCCTGAATTTAACCTAGTAGGAATTGTATGAACATGGTATATTTCAAATTTCATTAAATTTGAACCAGTAGTTAAGAATTACAACTAGTCAAAGTTTCTTAATTTTGTCACTCACTGACTGACTGATCATCAAAACTAAGGCACTTCTAGCAGACATAGAAGCTTCAAATTTAGAATACAATTAGTGTTTAGTGTACCTATAAATCAAGGAAAAACTAAAATATTTTTTAATTTCGGTCGTTTTCTAGATACACCAACTGCATAAATAACTTTGTAATCCCATATAAATATATAGAATTACAAAGTTACATTTGCAGTGAATGAATCAGTGTACTTGTATTAGGTGTAGATATGCAGTGGCGAAGCTTCCATTAAAGCCGAAAAGCCGGGCTTGCCTTATTAAACCTGAATCAATTAATAATATCAACTAATAAAATAACTCCTAAACTGTTTCAAATTATTTCAATTTTCCCGCGCACTCCACTGTTCGACACATGTCGACCGATGGCATTCCTATGTTAACCATTGAATAGGTAATGTAAAAAACTAATATCAGTGATATGATGGATACCCAAGATGTACAACAACATCTGAAAAAGATTCCTCCCAGTCTAGAAAATAATGTATATGTTGCTAATAGACTGCCCATGTATACCCACGTAGCAACGTATATAATATGCATTTTGGATATAGATGATAAACCAGGCTCACATTGAACAGATATTTTAGTGGATGAGATGGTTCGCTCCTATTTTATAGATAATAAGCAATAAAATATTGGAAATAAAAGTTGTAACAAAATTAAGGAATGAGTTTTATTGGTGATTCAGAATAGCGTGGTAGTTAGCGAACAAAGAAGGATAATCCAATAACGAGTAGTATATAAGAGCGCAATGTCGGTGCCCAAGGAACAATAGTTAAGAGGAAAGGTTGAACACAATGGAAACGCTATAGAACGCTAATAAGGGTGCAGGCTCACCGGATACCAATTACCAGTATATATTAGTTAATCGATCTGCACATCTCCGGAACTGCGCATCCTTCGCAAAATAGGACCGCAGGTTCGTGATCAGAGCATACCAAAACCTGTATTCATCAATATACTTCATCAATATACCGAAACCATATAAAATGTTACAGTCATGGCGTATATGTCACACTGTTTCAAGATTTTGATGATGAAAGTTTTCAAAAATCTTACAGGGTAATTTTTAACCCGCCCGGCCACCTGACTAGACATTTCTCCGCTCTGCCGCACCGCTTGCTCGCTTATCGCATAAAATTCTATAGAAAAATGAGACATCTCCTCTCTTCTCTGCTTGAATCATTTCCACCGAAGCTAAGCGGATTGATTAATTCAAACACATCTCCTCTCGTCTCGTCTCCTCTCTGCTTTGGTGGAAACCGGGCCTAGCTGAATAAATTTTGTTTAACCGCCCTGTGATTGGACGGCCATCGAACTTGTATTATATAAATGTCTCCACATCTTAATGTATTGCCGATCAAACTGGGAACGTTACAAGGAACCCATAGCAGGCCAAGTTTTGAACTCCATCCCCTTCTGGGGCTTTTCCATTTTTAAATTGCGGTGGTAGTCTTCAATCTCACCGAGAATTTCAGGATAAACTTAAGTTCAGTACAATTTTGCCAACACATGCCTTCAGTTTCGTAATGTGAGTCTTCCCAAGCTTCCGATAACAGAATAGGCGCCTTTATTTCGCTCTATTGGCTCTTGGGTAAGGTTGTATGTGCCGCAGGTCTCGTACAGCTTTCCGAAGATACCTAGTAAGTGGCAGTTGTTCTCATGGGGCAATGATGTCTGATGGCTTACATCACTTTTTGTATAAACCTGCAGTGTCTCGTCTGGGAAGTGTTAAGATATTATAAATTTATATATTTTTATAAGTATCTACATCATGTTCATCAATTTAACAGTCGTTCTCAAGTCCACTGAACGTATCCCACCCCCAAGGAATATAAAGTATCTACATCACATTGGCAAATAAAAAGAAGTTGTTAAACCACTCCTTGCATAATACAAAAATTAAAAAGCATACGTTTTACTAAGATATTTCACAGTAAACGAATATCGAACAAGTTTATATGTCTGCCTTCCTTCTACATAGTACTACCTTCATTCTACGAAATATATAAACATAATGTTTGTTTTTTACCTGCACACCAAGCTCACCCCTCTGTTTATAAGCCGTTGTCGTCGAGTAATCTCACAGACGGGTGATAAAACAGCAGTAACGGTGCGAGACTTGTATCTACGCTTATCAAATCTCTTACCCAGCGGTAAGAGAGTTCTTGCGCCAAAATCCCTTAAAAATGAGAACAATTCTGCACTTAGAAGTTTGCAAGTTAGTTAGTTAATATTGTCTTACCTTCGTTTTTTTACTTAAAATCCCACCAAAAAAAATTATTAAAATCTGTGCTCTCTATGGGAATAACTTGAAACTTCTTTCACTGGTTATAATATAGTACATATATCGAATAGTTAGTACAGTATATCGAAAATTTTCTAATTAATAATGTTGTCTATAGTATTTTCTAAATTGCCCTCTAAAGCAATTCTTAAAACTTACAGAACAACATATACAATTGGGTGCGCGACCATAGGATTCATCATAAATTCTCTGAGACGTCAGCTGACCCTCATGATGCTCGCCGAGGCTTCTTCTTCTCCCACGTCGGTTGGCTAATGATGAAGAAACATCCTGATGTTATCCGAGAAGGCAGGAAAACTGATATGAGCGATATCGCAAATGATCGTCTAATACAATTTCACACAAAGTAAGTATTTTGTAGCATGAGTACTACGTTTTTGTGACTATGCTATTTATTTATATATATTAAGCTATTGCATAGCTTCTATCGCGGGCCTTGAGCGCGGGGACCGAATCCAGAAATTCCGTAACGAAAAAAACCTCACGCTCCCCACTCCGACGGGTACGGAGGTGTGGCGTTGAAAGCCGTGCATCGTCTAACGTCGTTTCAGTTCGGCAGACTTCGGCACTCGGCGGACTTCGGCGACGGAACCGTGTTTGTGTGCGTGCGACTAGACGTATGCGTGTACACTAGCTGCTAACTCAATGATAAAAATTTCTGAACAACCTACATGTATTGTAAGATATTAAAAATATTTTAAACAATATTAACTTCTCGTTTATTCAATAAGAGAAAAAAAATTGTTTTCTTATCGGTCACCACGCTCAAAAAGTGTAACTTGATTTAATATCAAAGACTTAACTGCATAAATAAAATAAATAAATAATTATAATTGCATAAGTTGATAAAAAATGCTATGCAATAGCTTTACCGCGGCAGTCACCGAGTGCCACACGTATTTTATTTTTCTGTGTACCGCGTGACTTAGTAATTCTAACAACAGCCTTTTACATTATTTACATTTAGTATAACGTAAGTTTATACTAAATCTTTGTTTTAAATAATTAAAGGAATAAAATAATTTCCAGTCTCTGAAGTCGGGCTTTAATATTTAAGTATACTTTGCCTTAACAACTCGGCATTCTTCAGAAGCTTTTATGTAGAAATTATTTCATTATTTTTATTCCTTTAAAATCGTACTTTTTACTAAAAGTTTAATTTTGTTTGTAAACCTACTCTATAGTAAGTGAACAAGTACTTATATTTGAGACATCTATATATGTATATCTATACATATGATTTTGTTCCTTGGAATGATGTTAAGAAATATACAAGTCTTTAATAATTTATTATTTTAAACATATATACAAACATATTTCATCATTTTCTATATCTTATCTATAATCTTAATAAACTTTGGAGGTTAATTAAACCCTTTGATTATATTTTCCTCATAAGAAAAATACGTAGATATATGTTAGAATTAGTTAAAGCAGGGGGAATATGCAGTTATTGCAACGACGGCTAATGAGAAAAATAACTACAAGCGACTGAATCGCAATAACAACATAAAAACAACATAAGCACTCACGCCTATCACCCAGAGGGGTAGGCAGAGACTACAGCCTTCCATTTGGCACGATCCTGACTCACCTCTTTTGCCTCTTCCACATTCATATACCTACGCATACATGCTCGTCGGTTAAGGGTACACTTAATTTGGTCGCCAGTTTGGTTGACAAATTTTCGCCTAAGGCGTCCCTTACGGACTCTGCCGTTGACTTCTACCACATAAATTACTTTGTCACTCTTTCCTCAATCATTCTTTCTACATGACCCAACCACTGAAGCATTCCTTTATTAATCCTCGTCACAACATCATCTCGCAGACCACACTCTTCTCTTATTACACAATTTCTCACCATGTCACTCAGATTCAGCCCTACCTAGCACACTCCTTAACGACCGCATTTCTATTGCGTTTATTCTACTCTCGTGCTTCTTCTGCCGTACCCAACTTTTTCACTACAATACGTTAAATTAGGCATTAACACAGCATTGAGAATTGCCATACGTGCCTTTTTGACACATTCTGACTTTCCACAATAGAGTTTCAGCAATAACAATATAACTGACGTATTTGGCTTAGAGAAGCATAATTTATATTTTTATTATATAGTGTGATTTTTTTATTTTCAAATGAAGTATTTTTCAATAACGTGTTTGTTTCAGGTATTTTAATCTTTTTAAAATCTTTTTCTGCTTCCTGCTGCCGACCCTTGTACCTGTCTATGTGTGGGAGGAAAACTGGGAAACCGCCATACTTTCACAACCACTGTTAAGATATGTGTTGAGTCTTCACTTTACCTGGTCCGTCAACAGCTTCGCTCACATATGGGGAAATAAGCCTTACGATAGGTAGGTACATTTATTTTACTAATCTTTATATATATAAATTACGTGCCACGTTGTTTGTCCACAATGGACTCCTTAACTACTTAACCGATTTTAATCAAATTTGCACACCGTGTGCAGTTTGGTCCAACTTGAGAGATAGGATAGTGTTTTTTGCCTATGAGTGAGCCACAATTTCTTTTGCGATTTTAAGGATTTTTAATAGAACATGAAGAAGGGTCGCCGAAAAGGGCAGAACAACGTCTGCCTGGCAAGCTAGTTTATCTCTATAATTTTAAAATCAATTACAGTTCATTAGTCTCGCTAAAACTCAAAGCTGACTCGACCGGATCTGATAAAACTTTTGTGTGTGTTTGAGTGGATAGTTTAGATTTACAATAGGACCCGGTAGATGGATCTTGTCGAGATCCAGAAAATAAACATAAGCGAAAACAATAACACCTACTACACCAAAATATTATACTACTTTTAATTTTAATACTAATTATTTACTTACAACACCATCGGTATACAGGCATGATCCAGCATGACAAAAAAAGCGATGGACAATTTTACAAATTTTTATATATTCAATACTTTTTTATATACCTACACTTATATATATATATATATATATATATATATATATATATATATATATATATGTGTGGATGTGTGTGTGTGTGTGTGTGTGTGTGTGTGTGTGTGGTGTGTGTGTGTTCTTGACACAGTCCTCCTGATGAAGAATGATGCTGTAGCCCGTAGACGCTTGTGTTTAATTACGAGTAAGATCAAAATGCAGATTGTTTTCACTACTGACGACTAACATGGAATGACTCATACGGGACACAGTAGCATTGTGCTGCTATGCTATATCACTGATTCCAAAGTTATATGAATTTCTGTCAAATTGGAACAAAATAGTCTAACGTAAATTGTATAATTGCGTCTAACTAATTGATAGGAGTTCAATATACTTGGCTTATGCCTGTTACAGACAACGTACAGTATCTCGCGCGAATACCGTAATGGCTGACACACACGGCCGGTTCAAACGGATGTAAGCCAAAACAATTTTCCCACTCACTGGCTAAAAAATTTCTACTTAAGATTTCACACTCACAGACAACCAATCAACTGGTCAGTTCAACTAACCGTGCGCCCGAAAAAATCCGTGGGTTGCCGTCAGTTAAATATTTCAACGTAGGATTTCACACTCACGGTCAGTTTTTGGATGTATGTCAGTTCAACTGATGATGATTTAATGTAACTGAGCGTGTGTGTCGAGCATTACTGTGTAATTGATAAATATGGATGACGATACGTTAGGACATATGATAGATTGCTATGCGTTATAAAGCCACGCTGCAGCTATATTATAGTAATAGCACGAATGGGTCGGCTCGACCGGGGTGAGAAATACCAGCGTAAAATAGCAGCTTAATGCTGCTGTTTTTCGTATGGTGATTGTAAAGAACCGGAAACCCTTCTTACTGGAAAGGAGGCGTTCCATCTCAGTTCTCAGGAGTAACTACGCATCTGCATTATGATTCTTAAATAAGGATAAAGTGTAGATCAAAAAAACCATGAGCGTAAATTATATAGGCCACAGCATTTATTTACCATCAGGTGGCCTGTGTGCTCGTTTATCTCCCTTATTACATTTTTGTTTATAAAGATCACTGACATTGTAAGGATTTTTCATAATCACATGTTTAGCACTCGGCGCGTTACTCGTCCGCTCTGGGCTTTTAACTTTTACTAGACGTCTTTAAAATCTCCTATAATATTGAACTTATTTTTCACTTTTCATTGTAGTGTAAGCCGTGTCGGTACAATTAATCTCGCAGCGCACTGCCTGGCAAGGTTGCCATGCAAAGCGCGGTTAATACAGAAGAAACGTGGCGGAGGCGTGTGGCGATGGCGGATAATCAAAGAAACATAATTGATAGAATCAGGCGTTACTTTGCGGAAATCCATTTTAATAAAAAATAAAAATATAAATTTCTTTGCAACCTTCCGCTAAATAAATACAATGATGTGTCTTACCTGGATTGAAGAGCAAAAAAGAGCAAAAAAAAAAGAAACATAAAATAGACCTAATATTTATGTCACATAGTATCGTTTTTGTCGAAAGGTGAAGTGCGCCTGCATATCTAGGTGACGTCACCGACACCAGATGGCGCACCACTACATGGCACGCGTCCCATCTACTGTCGTCTATTATTATAATAGATTAGGCCTACTTTATATTACTTTGCTTATCCACTACTACCTTAGTGGTCAGACGAGTTGCTAGTTAGCTAGTTAATGCCTTTAATTAGACCTTTACAATATACTAATTAAATGGTTCATGTGGGCTACAATACAATCATAACATGACCTCTTTGTTCATGGATTCCCGGGTTTTAAATCAAACAATTAATCAGTTTTTCTGACAAGAAAATCAGTAACTTGATTAAATAACGCCGTGCCTCGAAAAACACGTAAAGCTTTTGATCAGCGTTTATCCTGCGCCTGAGCTCCTTCCGACACGTCGGATTACTGTCACATGCCCTGCGCAGGCCGTTTTCCTCGGTTGAGACTGACCAGCGTGACCGAAATTATATAATGCTATTTAAAAATTAAATAAACTGATTCCTAATACTCTATTATGTATAATAAGATAAAATGCATCATAAGCATTTTTAGAAACTTTTATCTGCGTTAGTCCGATTAGGTATGTCCATGTTAATTCACGCTTTACATAAAAACTAATCCACAAGGTACACAGTCCTCTTGATGATAAATGTTTAACGTAGCTCATAGACATCTTCAACGAATTTCAAACAAAGAAGGTCGCATTCATCCCAGCGCTGCTGGCAAGCTCCCCATATTCTCTTCTATTCTCAATTAGTGGACGCTGCTTGACAGCAGAAATAGGTAAAAAAAACTATCACCTAATCAAAAACTTCTAGGGTCCCACTAGTATAAAATAAATCTTTTATTTATAAAATATTTTATGTTACACCGTATCGTCATGATTTTATATAATTTGTGAACTAAATAAAAACCTTATTTTTTTTAGATACATAATGCCTGCGGAAAATTGGGGCGTATCCGTTGTAGCAATGGGTGAAGGATGGCACAACTATCACCATACCTTTCCATGGGACTATAAAGCATCAGAGCTAGCGTACGTCAACAACATCACCACGACCATCTTGAATCTGTATGCCAAAATAGGTTGGGCCTACGACATGAAGCAAGCGTCACCCAGCCTTATTAAATCAGTTATAGAGAATAGGGGCACGATCACACATCATCATTAATCAACGGACACTATGTAGTAAATTAGCTTAAAACTACAGTGCGATTGTGTAACTCTGATAGAAGTCGTGGTTTGCTTCGTTTTGATTTGTTTCTCTGGATTGCGCAAATAGGGTGTAGGTTTGTATACATCCAATAAGGTGGAGGTTATAAATTCGACGCGTAGGTTTTTTTTAATGTATTTCCACCGATTTCTCGGAAAATATCTGAACCAATCTTAATGATTCTTTTTTTATTTAATAGGGTGTTCATTGGTGCCGGTGGGGATCGAATCTGGGTTGCTCGCTTACTGTGCGTAATTTACAGCGAGCTATCTACCACGGCTCTTAGTCTTAGAAATTTTAAGTGCTGATTTACCACATGTTCGGTGGTGAATAAAACATCATAAGGGGTTTCCTAACGGTGTTTTTCTTAAAATGCATGTCTCGAGAAATAAGTAAAAATATTTCAAAGACATGTGAAGTTCGCCATCACGCATTGAAGCAGCGCGACGGACACTTCCTTGCCCTTAGACCCTCTCAGACATGAGAGAAGGCCTGTGCCCAGCGGTGGGACATATATAGACTGTAACTTAAACTTTAGGGGGCATATAAATGTTTAAAAACGATTTCGCGCCTTAGGGTGCCAAAATAGGTGATGAACGTTCTAATGTGACTATTAACATATTTATGCAAGATGATGTTATGACCAGAATTAAGAAACGAATGCTTCGATGGTTTGGTCATGTAGAGAGAATGAATAAGAAAATAGTGACAAAGCAAATTTATATGGCAGATGTGAACGGCAGAATCGGGAAGGGACGTATATATTTTGAAAATGGGCCACATTAGGAGTACCCCTAACCGACGAGCATGTATGCGTAGATATATGGATGTTAATGTGGCGAGAGAGGTATGTCAGGATTGTGCCAAATGGAAGTCCGTAGTCTTGCCTATCCCTCTGGGTGACAGGGTGGTGTTTTGTTTTTTTTAACCTATTTAAACGATATTCTAGCTGTTACCCTGAACTTGTGAGATTCCTTACTCTACTCAAAAGGGTATATGTTATAATTAAACATTTAAAAAAGTAAAACGGAATTCAAAAATAATAAGTGGTAAAATAAGAAATTTTGTGCAACCGACTTGAATATAATTAAAATGAGAACAACAGCGAATTAAATGCGCATTATTAAGGATACTTCAAAAACTACTAGTCAGATCTTGTTTGAATTTGGGATTACGCGAGAAGTAGCTTTCAGGTAAAAAGAATCATCAAAATCAATTCATCCAGAGAAAAGCTCTGAGGTAACACACATAAAAAAACATACAGTCGAATGGAATACCTCTACCTTTTTGAAGTCTGTAAAAAAATATAGATAATTTCCCCGTCCACACTAATATCTTAGCGTCGACTCAGAAGCTATTATGTACAAATATTTTTTTAATCCATTAAACTTTATTTAATAAAATTTTATAAGATACTCATATTATTAATATTTAACTTTATATTTAAGGTTACCAAATATTATTATAATGAAGAAACCTAAATCACTGGTAGCGATTCCCACCGGCAAACAATTCCTAAAACAGTTACACAAAATTATTATTTACAACGATTGTAACGATTCAATTAACGATTAAGTTATTTCGTTCTTATTTGGATTAATACAATATTAATAAAATCAGAGTTTGACAATGTTGTTTTATTAAACATTTTCCACAGAACTGAACTCATATGGGGAGATAGTTTAATTGGATATTAATTTAAGTATCAAGAGCTTTTGCGTGTTGGGGGGTTGTTCAAATGGAAGTCCTAGTCTCTGCCTACCCCTCTGGGTGAATTTATAGCAAACTATCTTAATAGTATTTAGCGTTAGGAGCTGAGTAGTAAAAGATTAACTGCAATTGTTTGTACAAATCGTTACGTTCGGTAATAGCGCTCTGCACTAGCAGGTAGCTAATTTTAGGTAATGTAAAAATTATTAATCAGATGAGGATCGAAAATATGCTTTTTGTCATCACTTCAATGAGAACAGATAAGTTATTTGTCTGTCACTCCGACGCAATCGTGTTTTACGAGGGGTTTTCTATGTATTATCGGTATTAAAGTAATTGCTAATAATGTAGGTAGTTAAAGAAATCATTAGCTAACGACACTACCTGAGGGATATAAATTTCGTCTTGACAACTTCATTACTTCTTATGTAACCTTCAGTCATAGACGACGGGAATGACTGACTCGAAGATGTTTAAAAAAATCGAAATTAAACTTCTCACTAAAGAAGGAAAAAGTAAGAAACATCCATGGAGAAATGGCGGCTGTTTACGAAGACTGCCTCTTCAATTTCAACCGTACAGAAGTGGTCAAATTAATTAAGTAAAGGCAGAGAAAGCATCGAAGACGACCCCCGTCCGGGTGGGCCAATCACAGCGGCTATAAAAGAAAATGTAAAAATTATTAAAAAAAAACTTGTAATGGAAGATGCACGAGTGAGAATTAATATGTTAGCAGAAATGACTGACCTATTCGTTGGTACCATACATACCCTAATGCATATCTATCTCAACATCACAAAAGTCAGTGCAAGATGGGTGCCTTTTTTCTTTTTTTTATAGGATAAGGTGACAAACGAGCACACAGTCCACCTGATGGTAAGTGGTTGCTGCGGCCCATAGACATCTTACATCCGTCCTCGATTACAAATCAAAATGCAGAAGCGTTGTCACCCGTGAGGACTAAGATGGAATGCCTCGTTTCCTGTAAAAAGGGTCTCCAGTTCTCTACACTCACCATATGAAACACAGCAGCATTAAGCTACTATTTTACGCTGGTATTCAGTGAGAGCGTGGTCCTTCCCCGGTCGAGCCGACCCATTCTTGCTACTACTATACTACTAATATAACTGCAGTATGGCTCTACCACGTATAAAAAACCGTGAATGCTCTCTACACTTTAAAAGCTGGCGCGGGTTGACTGTTGTAGGGAGTTTTTAGAGCTGTGTGGTGACGATCCAACAAATGTTTTCGATAGGACAGTTACAGGAGATGAAACATGAGTTCACCACTATGACCCTGAGAGTAAACAGAAGTCTATGCATAAGAAGTTCAAAGTCACTGCATCGGCCGGTAAAATCATTGCCAGTATTTTGGGATTCTAAGGGTACTATTGTTCGATTACACAAAAAGGTGAAACCATCAACGGAGACAAATACTCAGCCACTTTACGCTGTTTGAGAGAAGTAATAAAAGAAAAGAAAAGAGGAAAGCTGACCAAGGGATTGCTACTCCTTCATGACATGTACGAGACTGCGGGTTTGAGGAAACCTTACAGCCCAGATCAAAATAAAATAAATAAATAATTTTTTTTATTTATTTGCTTTTTAAGGGAAATATACAGTGCAATAAAATACATTATAAAACATATAAAAGTAATCCTAAAACCAATGAAGTTTCCACAGATATCTAATACATATTAAAAGCTTGCAACCACAATGTTTAAAGATTTAAAAATAAAATAACTAAATGGTATTTATAATTAAACATTAAGTATACTAAGCAGTTAAAAGTAATACAATACACACAACCTATAGTGAAGCTACCAATTATAAATTAAGTTTTACAATATTTTTTATAACTATTATATTTAAGGTAAAAAATAAGGTCTAAATCGATTATAATCGAATTGCCTTATTTCGTTTGGGATTTTTTAAACACTTAAATCACCATCACATAATAATTTTTTGAGTACAGACTAGTTTTTAATGAAGGCAAAATATTTTTTCTGGTTATCTGTTACTATGTTTTATATTACTATACTATACTATATATTATATTATATGCTATAAGAGAAGTGTTTCTTGACGAGATTGAAGTTAGCTTTCGCAGAGCAAAATTAAATTTAAATATTTTAGAACAAACTTTATCCATGTGATTTTTCCAATTACAATGTTTGTCTAAACTAATACCTGAAAATGCTACATTCAATAGCAGTAATTTTTTCATCATTATACTTAACTTAATATCAAGTAATTGCGGTTTACTTTTAACATTATAAAGTCGCATGCATTTAGTTTTAGATAGATTTATACTTAGATTATTGTTTTTTAACCATTTAACAACATTTACAACTGTATTCTTTATTTGATTTTCATATTCGTTACTACAACTGGAATTAAAATTTATTTTTAGTATTAAAATAAAAATATTGTCAGCAAATAATATTGTGTTATATTTAATGTAATTTGGTAGGTCATTCATGTCAATTTAAAAAAGTAAAGGATCCAAAACACTCCCTTTTTTGTGTGAGCTAGTATGCAGGTCTAGGAAAAGAGGCCAGTATCATTGCTACCTATTGTAATCACCTATATTGTGATCGCTGTTATGGCTATAGTCACTGATAAGTCCTATGTCTTCAATGAATAGAAGGAGTTGCTTAGCCGTGAGCAATTTTACTTCTTCTGGGCGGATGAGTGCTTCCCAGATGAGTGTTACGTTTGCGCATTAAGGGTCCGCAATCAGTAAGGATGTGCAAAGGCGTTCCTTCAGTTATGTAACAAAACCGACACATCCTTGAGTTGCTTAGTCCCAGAATGGAAATATGCTTTTTAAGACAACAGTGTCCAGTTAGTGCTCTTACCAGAATGCGCAATTTATTTTGCTGAATTCCAGGGATCCTAACGAGAATTTATTTTTGTTGTGATAGAGTTTCAAGGGTCAATCGGGCTAGGCTTCTTGAGATTCCACAAAATGGCTCAGGTCCAAATTGTGTACTCTTTGAACCCTCCCGTGCGAGTTTGTCGGCAAATTCATTGCCTATAATACCCGCGTGACCCGGAACCCATTTGAAGACGACTCTGTTGTTACATCTCAAGGCGTTTAGACGGTTCACGCAGTCTCCAACGAGTTTCGAGTTCACTAAGATTGACCTCAGCGCTAGCAGTGCTGCTTGACTGACAGAGTTTATATAAATTATATAGTTGAGGTTGTGTTTTTGCAGATTGATTTCCGCAAACTGAAGTATGGCA